AGCATGACCGGTCTGGCAGTGGGTCAGTGATGGCATATCCTTGGAGAGACTCACAGACCTCCATGTCATAGCAAACGGTACCCTGACTGCTGTTAATTGAGCAGCTATGGGATGTTATGTATCGGTGCATCCAACGCCACCAAGACTGTCCAGGAGCTCACTGATGTCCTGATCCAGGTCTGGGAGAAGATCCCCCAGGACACCATCCACCGACTCATCAGGAGCATGCCCACACATTGTCAGGAGCGCATACAGGCACGCGGGGGCCATACATACTACACAGTCACATTATGAGTTGCCGTGATAAAATTCACACACTGGATCAACCTGTGATTTCAATGTTTTACTTTGATTTTCAGAGTGATTTTAAATCCACCCTCAGTAGGTTGATGATTTTGGTTTCCATTGACCGTTATTATGTCATTTTGTTCTCAACAAATTATACAATGTACATCAGTAAAGATTTTCAACTTAAATAATTTGTTCATCAAGATCTGACGTGTGATTTAAGTGTTCCCTTATTTTATGAGCAGGGTATCGTAATGTAGTGTTTTTATTTTTCCCTCAGTAAACTAAATTAAACTTAGCTGAAAAACCAGTAGGGGACTTCTAAAGAACAATACAGAGGCCTAAACAGTTCTCAGCTGGTTCTTCAGATTAGTTTGCTGGGAAAATAATGAGCAGAGAAACTCTAAAAACCCTTACAGGGGCTTAATAAGTTCTTTGTTTGGCAGTGGTGTTGAACAGCACCTCAACCCATGCCCAAGACCCGCTGAGAAACCAACATTTTTCTGTGTACACTTGTAACATTTTTGCGTCAATTAATCCTTCACACATTTAGTTTTATACTTTAGCATGATTTCCATATCAAGTGTGCCACATAGAAAAAGGACTGTCAGCTGTAACATGCCGCCACACTGAAATTTATTTCAAGATTGTTGGATTTTGTCATAACACACAGTGTAATTATCTTTTTTTTTTTTTGTCTTTTTTTTGTTGCAAATATCAACAAACATCAGGGAGAGACCAACTCATGGCTGGCTTCATTATTCATTTATCATTCTTAAAATAATGTCATACCACGGATGAGGTAATGAAAAATCCTAAGTCTTTAAGCCCTTATTCTGACAGGTAAGCAGTGACGGGCTTTGTGTAGCTGGTGCCTTGTTGGTGCAATATGTTAATCCCATGAGGCATAAAAAAACATGCCTGTCTCCAGTCTCTGTTGTTGTGCTCCAGATATCAACTGAGCTTCTGACAGGCAGGAAAATTGTTACTTT